GTATATTGTTTTTTGTGAATTAAGATTGATTTTTTTTTTCCTTAAAGAAATTGAATTCCCCTACATTGTCTGTGAATAGTGAAGGATTTATACCTATGCTGGCCAAGTTAGATGATTGTATAACATATATCTCATCTCATGTAAGTCATGGTATTTTTGTATATTTTTAAGAAATCTTAATATTCTTGTTATATCACTTCTTGTGCTGCAATTATTTTTTCTGAAGGGGAAAAAATATATAGGTAAATATGTATTGAAGAAGAACTGTAGTGAATTCTTAGTTGTTATCAGTAGTGGACTAAAAAGTACTTTTAGTTCCTGAGGTGACCCCTGGAGTGGAAAGGGTCCTGGCTGACTCAGCTTTATCCCACCTAAAAGGGTGAGCCATTTTTAAGTTGTTAAAGTCCTGATGTGCTATATATTTCTTTGGAAACAAACTGTTACTGGAGGGAAATAAAGAGAGAAGCCCTTTGATTTAATCACCTCCTGTTTCTATCACCCAGGGCTTTATTGGTGTATGTGTTTCCCTTAAATCCTACACTTTTCCTAGTTGGGCCCTACATGTTAGCCTTGAAGTCTGTGGGGTGCTGAAAATATATTTTGCTAACAACTGCAAATATTTATTGAGCCACTACTTTGTGCAGACAGGGGACTTGGCTGTGATTACGACAGTTACAGACTCACCTTCATGGATTTTATGATCTATATACAGCTTTTTTTTTGAGCTTTATATATTGCTTTACATAAAGGACTCATTGGTTTTCATTAAAAGCTTGCTTTTTGTCAATTTTGTTTTCTTTTTGTAAGTCTTTCTCTTTTCCTTACAGCCTAATTTTAAAGATTATCCTGTATATTTGCTGAAATTTAAACAATGTCTTTCTAAAGCTTTGCACCTCATGAAGATATATATTGTGAATACACTACAGACTCTTACAAATCAGTTACTAAAAAGGGTGAGTTAACTGGTCTCAATTAACAGGTTGTTTTTCTTTTTTGATTCGTTTATTTTCCATAATCTTTGTCTGAGATTAGTGCTATGTAATTCTGAGAAAATTATACCTTTTGTTAAGTAAGAATATGTACTGCAGTTTTATTTATAGTAGGGAAAAATGGCTGTGTTAGAAATGTCCATTTCAGTCTTATTTTCAAATAATGTTTAACAGTGTGAGAAGTATCCAGTACTGTATGATGAATAGTAAAATAAGATACAAAGTATTTATTACTTAAAAAATTTCCTTTCTAGCTTTTTCATGAGACTATTAGAAGGAAATACACCAAAATAATAAAAGTGGTTTTGAGTGATAGGATGTGATGGATAATTTAAATTTTCTTCTTTACATTTTTTTTGTTTGTTTTTGGTTTTTTGAGACAGCCTTGCTCCATCACGCAGGTAGAGTGCAGTGGCATCATCTTAGCTCACTACAGCCTCAAACTCCTGGGCTCAAGTGATCCTCCTGCCTCAGCCTCCTGAGTAGCTGGGGCTACAGGCGTGCACCATGACACCCAGCTAAATTTTCCATTTTTTTTTTTTAGTAGAGACAGGTTCTTGCTCTTGGTTAGGCTGGTCTCGAACTCCTTACCTCAAGTGATCTTCCTGTCTTGGCCTCCCAGAGTGCTATGATTATAGCACTTTTCTGTATTTTTCAATTTCTGTATTTACCACACATTTTTATTGAGTACCTCTTAATGCTTGGTATTGTATTAGGAACTCTACAACAGCAAAGAGGAGCCAGCAAGGTCCCTACCATTATGGAGCTTATATTTAGGAGAAATAATCAGTAAAGAAGGAAACAGATTAGTTAATTACAGTTTGCAGTAGATTCTAGATGGAAAATTAATAGGATGTTGGGTTAGAAAATAAGAGTAGAGCTAGCTAGGATGGTCGTGGAGCATATTTCTTTCCTAAGAAAATAAAATCTTAAAGGTTATATTTTATTTTTTAGTCTTACTTTCTAAACAACATGGAGTATCTTCTTGAACTTTCAGTTCAAAGCCAGTGATTTTGGGCTTGCCTTTTACTGTTTACATTGTCCTTAGCTGACATAACAGTTGAACTATATATTTTTCTATTTTGCAAAATTTCTAGTAAGTTTAGGAAACTAATAAGGACTAGCTGCACAAAACTTCTATCAGTGTATATGTATGGTAATTTAATGGTTGCACTGAATCTCAGAGAGGTTAAGTAATTTGGCCAATGTCCTACACTCAATAAATGACAGAGTATATATCTGAATTCAGGTCTATTTACCTGAAATTCAAATAACATAGGGTAAATTTTGAATATAAAGAAGAGAGAGATGATAGTTCCAATTAATTATTACTCATTTATAGCAATAATAATATTTAACCTCTCTCTGAGATTTTTCTCTCCAAGCTTTTGGTTGGCAGGGAGGCCAAACATTAGCCATATGAAATGGTTAGTGTCAGGTTTTTTGAATAATTATTTGTTTACTAATTTTCTTTCTTCCCTATCCTCTTCCATGTTTCCTTAGGATCCTTCATCTGTACCTAATGCAGATAATGCCTTCACACTATTTTATGTGAAATTTCGAGCTGCTGCCCCCAAAGTCAGAGTAAGTCTATTGACATACATAGGATATTGCTATGAAATTTATTCATGCAGCCCTTTTGAAGTACTGTTGTATGTTAGGCCCTTTGCTTATACCAGGGAAATAAACATGAATGAAAGGTAGGCATTGTCCTTCTACATTACAGCAGTGTATCTTAGAGGTGTGTCCTAGGTGCTTGAAGACTACAGAGCAGGAAACACCTAGCTCTTCTTATGATGCTCAGGGTAGGTTTCTAGATGAAGGTGATAGTTGAGCTTAAAAAGTTCAAATAGTGGACTTGTGGAGATTCATAAGAGTGTTTTATATAGAGAGAAGAGCACGTATAGGGAAGGTTGTAGAGACATAAAAGACATACATTTTGGGAGAGTTCCAGGTAATTTGTTATGATGGGAACATGGGACATTAGTGGGATGTGTTAGGAAAGATGACAAAGACCGTCTTACAGGGGATGTTACATGTCATGTTAATTTAGGAAAAGTAGAGAACCAATAAAGTAGTATCTTAAACAGAGGAGTGATTTGGTCAGATTTGCCAAACAGACACATAGACCAATGGAACAGAATAGACAACCCAGAAATGAATCCAGGTACTTACAGCCAACTGATTTTTGCCAAGAACATTTAGTGGGGAAAGGACAGTCTCTTTAATACTTGGTGCTGGAAAAACTCGATATCCATTTTTATCTGATAGTTCTTGAAAAAAATTTAAAAAATAAAGAA